TATTCATTTTTGTGAGCAATGATTCCTTTTTAATATTTTCTTTGGTTGTAAAATATTTCTGAGAACAGCTCCTGTGGTGGAAAATCCTGTGTGTCGCTTCCCACCTGGGTGATCATTTCTAAGCCTGGATATTTGGCAGTTCTAAGAAGTTCCAAAGCCAAGAGCGGTGGCCCCAGCCAGGGCAGGGCGGGCATCTTTGGAGCTCTGGAAGTTTCATGGGTATAGCAAGGGTATAGCATGGGTATATGCACTGTGAGATGGCCATGTGGTCATCAGAAATTAGGAGAGATGATTGATATTTCACATTGAGATCTAAAGATGTGCTCTGAGCCCCACCCCCCTTTCTCTCTTCTTTTGGAGTTTGGGCTTCTGATGGAGTTCAATGACTGTAGAGGAATGAAGATAATAAGAGGTGTTCTTTGCTTCTCGTTTTCAGCTCCTAATTAGGCAGGGAACTCACAGGGAGCTAAGTTTGCTGACAAAGCTAAGCACCTTGGGCATTGAGGACCTAGTATGTGCCTAGAGCAGTAAGAAAGCTGTTAAGCTTTGACAATGATTATCAAACTTAAACAGCTGAAAATCTCCCTGATACAAAATGCAAGCCCATTGGCCGGCCTAGTGGCGCGTTGGTTGGGAACTTGCTTGGGACGCCAGAGGGCCCCGGTTCAGATCCCACATATGAGGGCCAATGACACTGCCCTCTACAGCTAAGATGCTGAACAACAGCTCGACCTGGAGCTGGGCTGCCGTGAGTCGCCAGCGTCGGTGTAGGCTGCAGCCCCTGGTGCAGTGGGTTGCCATGGGCTACTGTGTGTAGCCAGCAGCCAGCGTGAGCAGCCAGCAGCCGCTGTGAGCAGCCGTCCAGAAGCCGGCGACTGATCTGCCTCGCCAGGGAAGAGCGCAATGATGGTGCCAACTTGGGCCAGTGAAGCAACGTCCTCCACAACTAGACTGAAGAACAAAAGGACAGCAACTTGTCTGTTCCCCTTCCCCTAATTCCCCAGCGCCATTCCCATCCCCCAATTCCCCAATAAAAATCTTAAAAAAAAAATGCAAGCCCATCAGAGAAGGAACTGCTTGTCTAACCTGTTAACAGCTCTCCCTGAGCTCTTCCTCACCAGGGGCGACCAAACAAATACCTGGATGAGAAGGAGATAGCTAGAAGTGGCATTTATTGAACACCTGCTATATGCTGGGCACTGTGCTAAGTGCTTTCTAACTCATATAACTCTCACCACAAGACTCTTGTCAAATTAAGGGGTTTTTAATGAGGGTTTACAGGAGAGAGAGGAGGTAGGATAGAAATACTGCCACATAAGAGCAATTTACTTCAATAGCTTAGAACAGCTATAGATGAGATGACCAAAGCAGCAAGTCCATTCTTTCATCTATTGGGTTGTTGGAAAAGTCATGACGTATTTTTCTATGTTTTTCTGTGCAAAAATGCGTCATAACTTTTCCAACGACCCAATATTTAATAGATGATTTCTGGGCCATCCCCCTGTGACAGGCCTAGGTTGGGGGCTGTGGGTCCTAAGACAGATGAGTTAGGGTCATGTCCTTTAGGAAGTTCACAGTATCCTTATAATCAATTCATTGTTAAATGAATGAAACTGAGAATCCTGGCTGAGCTTGTCTGAATGGAGGAAGCGGGCACTTCCAACCGGGGTGGTACTCGGTGCAATGTGCTCAGGGCACAGTGTGCCTAGGTGTACCACCAACACGCTGTGAGTGGGGACCAGCGTTTCCTGAGCTCCTCGACATACTGCGCCCCGGGCGAGGCACTGTGCACCTGTCATTTCCTTTACTCCTCTCTGCAAACCTGGGAATTGTTGCTCTGCCTTACAAATGAAGAAATGAAGGCTCAGAGTAACCTTCACAAACTTATAGGCGGCAGAGCTAGAGCTCCAAATCGGGGACTCCAAAGTCCTGGAGATCCCAAAGAACATGAGGATGGGATTGGAGCTGGTCGGGGTCCATGCTGGAATGAGTGAGTGTGAGAGCAGAAAAGGCTTCTTGATTTCAGGGCAGCCAGTTTAGGTGGGTGCATACCTCATGACAGGAGAGGGGGGCAGTGCTGAGCTGGAGAGTGGTCGGAACCAGAGAGTAAGAGCCTGTGTGTGGACTGTGAGCCTGGGAGCCAGGTGACCCTCTCCTTCATTTCTCACCTTAAAGCAACCTTCCATGATTGCCTGGTGTTTAGGGGAGGCAGCACACAGCTCCAAATACAGGCTTTGGGGCTGTGTGGCTCTGGACAAGCCTCTGTATTTGTCTGAGTCTCAACTTCCTTTTCTCTAAAGTAGGCACCATTACATCTAATGAGATAAACCTCTCGTAGCAAAGGGGACAGAATAGATGCTCAGGAAATGTGGTTAAAATATAAGACAGTTTCCAGCTTTCAGTTACCTGAGTTCAGCTCCTGGTTTTGCCACTTACCACCTGTGTGTCCTTGGGCAAGTGATTGACCCTCTCTGTGTTTCCATTTCCTTCTTAAAATGGGGGTAATAGCAATAGTTCCTACCCCAAGAGGTTGTTGTGATATGAGTTTGGTACATGCATTCACATGAGTTGATACAAATAACGAGCTTAGCACAGTGCCTGGCCACATCATAAGCCTTCAATAAAGAGTAACTATAATTACATTTCATCCCTCATTGCCTCGCAATTGCTCATTAAATAAGGACTATTGGTTTTCTTTCTCCCCAGCATCCAGTGATCCAGCACCAAGCATTTGTGCTGTAGGCACTAAAAGGAGATCATGGAAACTTGCAGTGGGGGAGTCAGCTTTCAGCAAGATGTCAAAGATGGGAGGAGTTGGGTTGGGTGGAGATTTGTGGGGAGGGCAAGGGGTTTGCAGAGGCACGATTGGGGGAGGGGGTGCAAAGCTTGGATCAGAGCCTGGTGGAGGACAGGAAGTAGAGAGCTGGGCTGCAGGGGTGTTGCTAGAGGAAGGATAGGGACGCCTTGAGGAGGTGTCACGGGTTGGCCTAAGCCTGATGACTGTGTGACCATGTGACTGGGGGTGAGTGATCTGCCTTGTGGGCCTGGAAAAGAGGCGATTCTCAGGGCCTCCCTGGCCAACTGCAAGGGTTTATATGAGGACCAAAAGAGAACACAGAGGGGAAAGTGATTAAAGCCACTAACACTCCACGCAGATACACCACCCCATGGCCTCTCAAGTGATGGAGAGCTGGATACTCTCTTGTGCATGGCTTCCAATGCAGCCGCCAAGTCCTGCTTTATTTTTAATGGCACTCCTTATGAAGTCTGCAGTTTTAGCAAATGAAAACTCTTATAAAACACATTCTTGACCACCTTCTCACCCCTTGTGATATTATGCCTATCACAACTCTGTTAGTACTTACCACTTGTAATTTTATTGTATCTTAGCACATAATAGAAAGCTTTTAAAATGTCACTTGTTCTGTTACCAAAAAAAAGTGTTGAGGGGCAGCTTTAGGCCTCCAGTATGTTCCTGTGGGGCTTGGGACACTAGGCCTATACATGTTGTACAAGACCACATGTGACCACTGCCATCTTCATTCCTGATGCAGCTGACCAGCACCATTCCTCTCCCTCCAGACCGCCCATCCTGTCGAGTTTTATGCCTCTGTGCCTATGCCTAGAACACCTTTCTCAACTCACATGAAACGCCTATTCACCCTTCAAAACCCCATTCACCTATCTTCTCTTTGAAGCTTTTAAACATCCCTTCCATACAGAAACTGCTAGGTGTCTGTTCCTGTGCATTTAAGAATTATTGCATATATTACCCTCTATTCTAATTACTCACCTGTTAAAACTCCCATACCTCCAGTATTCCTCCACATCCAGGGCTGCCTCTGGTCTTGGCTTAATCATCCCTTTATCCCTGGGTTTGATCAGAGGGCTTGAAAGAGAATAAAAGCTTAATAAGTGTGTCTGCCATAAACCTAGTTAGACTCAGTCCTATGTCCAGAGGTTCCATGGCTTATGGATTTTAATGTATGAATTTTTCCAGAACTGAGTATTAGAAGAAAATGCATCCCTCTGCTGACCATCAAAGAAGGCTATAGGAGAAGTTCGAGGGTTTCAAGTCACTTAAAACAGCCTCTCTAGGGCTGGCCGAGTGGCGCGTTGGTTAAGAGCTGGCTTGGGACACCAGAGGGCCCCAATTCAGATCCCACATATGAGGGCCAATGACACTGCCCTCTACAGCTAAGATGCTGAACAACAGCTCAACCTGGAGCTGGACTGCCATGAGTCGCCGGCGACGGCGTAGGCTGCAGTCCCTGTGGCAGTGAGTTGCCATGGGCTACCGTGTGTAGCCAGCAGCCAGCGTGAGCGGCCACCAGCTGCTGTGAGCGGCCGTTCAGAAGCCGTGACTGATCTGCCTCGTCAGGGAAGAGCACAATGATGGTGCCCACTTGGGCCAGTGAAGCAATGTCCTCCACAACTAGACTGAAGACCAAAAGGATAGCAACTTGTCTGTTCCCCTTCCTGCAATTCCCCAATTAAAAAAAAAATTTTTAAAAAAAAACCAAAAAACCCAACCAACCAAAAAAACAAAACCAGCCTCTCTGAACCTAACCTGTTTCTAAGATGAAGCCCCATTCAGATCCCCCTAGGTCAGCTGCTCTCATTTTTATCAAGACCAGTAGAGAGAAAGAAGCCTTTTTTACACTGAGACACACTGAACGCCTACATCAGAAACAAAACTTTCATGGGACAATATACACCCCTGCTATGGGTTTGAGCTCCATTTCTCTTTCTTGTTTTTTAAAATTGCCGGTCACCCGCTGCATTGATTTCACGATGCTTTAATCAGCTGCATTCCACAGTTTGGAAAACACTGCTCTAAGCCTACTATAACCTGAGAAGGCTTCTCAGAGGAGGATCCCTGCGCCCTGGCAGTCAGCTCAGAGGAGCTGGTGGGCCAGCAGTGGGCAGCAGGTGGGTGGGTGGGAGAAGGTGTGAGGCAGGCATGGGCGAGATTCTAATCCTCTTCCATCTCTTTGCAGCTGAGCCCCTGCCGCTGATGGACTTGTGCCGGAGATCTATCCGCGTGGCCCTGGGCCGCCAGCGCCTGCAGGACATCGGCTCGCTGCCCCTGCCTCAGTCTCTCAAAAACTATCTGCAGTACCAGTGAGCTGTGTTGGGGGGCGCTGAGGGGCTGCAGTGGGCACCCCCGCTGGCCCTGCCTTTCATTTCACCGTCACACAATACATTCAGGAAGGGGTCTTCCTCCTCACCCCGGTTCCCCAGAACTTTCAGTTTTTGAAAGGCAAAGACATGTTCCCAACTTTAAAAATGAATGTCTGTTGCCAACAGTATTTGCTGCCTGAGAAGCAGCTCTCTCACGTCAAGACACCTCCTTGGAAGCCACGAGGAAACCTGGAGCCTGCTTCCAGAGGAGGTCCCGCCTGCCCACCAGGACCCGGCAGCCACCGGTATTGATCAGAGAGCCTGTTTCTATATTCAAGAAAATGAATAAAACATTGGGGCAGGAGACTCTAGAGTGTGCCTGGTGCAGACAGGGCCAGGGAGGATTGGCCGCTCCAGGAGAAAATTGAATCTGAATAATGAATGAGGAAAGCGGCGTGATGTGCGCCCCTCTGGGCTTCCACCCGTTGCCAGGGCAGCGGGATTGTCGTGACACTTTAGGACTCTGTGCCCCTTTGCAGGACGATTACCCAGGGATGCTCGAGGAGGCAGACCTGGCAGTGTTTGAACACGTTCCAGCTTACCTCTTTGAAAGTCGTTTACTCATCCCTGTTCCATGCCCTCCTTCTCCACTGCGGACCCCTCTTTGCCCCAGGCACCTCTATTCAGGGAAGCTGAGTCTGACTAATTCACCCCAGGGACAGAGTGTTTCCTTTATTATTATTTTTAAGTAGTGTTGCATTTTAAAAGAGGAGTATGGTGAGTGAGGGCAGTACTTAGTCCAAAGGTGCTAATGGGGGAATTAGGGGCCTGTGACACCCAAGTGGATGATGTCCTTGGCCTGGGGAGCCTTCTTGGGGGGTCTCTAGGCAACTGTCCACTCAGGATGCAGCCTGGTTGCCACAAAGCTTTATTTGAGCGAATTATTTTTTCACTTTACGGGATTTAGACGAGTTTGTTTCTGTTTCAAATGTGTGTGTGATATGCTGTTTATTTATCAGCTTGGGACCCGTAGGGACAGCCTTGTAACTGGAAGGGTGGATGTGGGAGGCGCCTTCTCCGTCCACTCCGAGCCTGGTCCTCTCCCGGGAACAATGCTGCTGCCACCACCTCCGCTGGGCGCCTCTCCTATGTTTCCAGTGCTCTCTGCCCAGACTCATTTTTAACTGGAAATTGTCACAGCAGTGGAATCCCAGAGCCCCAGGTGGCACTGCCTCCCCCCACTTTAATGTGAATTTGACTGGTGAATGAGGAGCGTTTCTAATAAAGTTTGTCGTTCAGTCCTTCAGCTGTTTATTAAATGCTCTTTGGGGAGGGGCCGAGAGGGCTTTTTCTCTCAATCTGGCTGGTCTGTCCCCAGACCCTCAGAAGACAGGAATGTGATTCCCTCCCCAGACACTTCTATTTTCTTCTGCCTTCTTGTCCCCGCTTGAACCCAAACTCGAGCCATTTTACAAAGGCCTGCCCTGGAAGAGTGAATGTGCCAGGGTCCTGGGCCCATGCCAAGCTGGCTGTGATGGCGAAAAAACAGGTCAAACCGCTGAATGCCAAGGCTGTGATGTCCAAAGCGGGCAATGCAGGGGACACAGAATCAAGCATGGTAAACCCTATGGGACAACCATTTCAAAGTAGACCCAAAAGGTGGGGCTGGATGGGACTTTGGAAGTGCACATTGTCACCAAGGACAGTGCAAATTGCGGAAGCACAGTGAGTGTGTGGCTTAGCCAGGCTTAGGGCTGCAAACTGGTCAGGAGCCAGTTCAGGCTGGGGTTTGGGTCAGGACTGGCACAACACCCACTCAGCCATACGGGCCACCAACACGTGCTGTGCCAACCTCCAAGGACCTAGCACTCACTCAGATATATCCCATTCCCTGGGGAAACGTTTATAGTGCAACCTAATGAGAGGGAGCTCATGAAGCAGGTGGGGGAGGATAGTGCCTGAAGGGAAGGCTTCCTGGAAGAAGAGGCATTCTCCATACCTGCTTCTTTATGGAAGACCACCTGGTGAGGACAGACCCAATAAACAGCCATGTTGCACACGCCCGAGACACAGGGTTCTTCCATGGCTGTGATTGGACTGGAGGCTGGGCTCAGCCTTGGGCAAGTTTCTGTCACTTAGGTTATGGGAAGCAGCCTCCTGCAGAAGCATGACCTCAGGTTCTGGGTTCTGGAGGCTTGGGTTTGAGTCCCAGCTTTATCACATACATACTATGACCTTGGGTAAGTCACTTCCTCCTGTGCACATGGTGGGGGCTGACCAGGTGGACAGCGACTGAGGACCCTTCCTCTCCTTCCTCCTCGTGTCCCAGTTTCCGCAGCAGCTTTCCAGCTTGGATGCATCCCTCTTGCTTATGTGATTCCTCCACCCCAGCAGTGCCCTCCCCATCCCCCCGTTACCCTCTCCAGGATCAGCTTAGATCAACCCTCCTCCAGGAAGCCCTTCCTAACCACCCACCAACCTGTACCTGCTCTGAGAGTCAGCTCCTCGCCTCCAAGCCTGTGGATGGGACCCAGGACCCGCACCCAAGCACTTGGGCTGGAGCCGCTCTCTGCCCTGTGGCCTCATCTGCCCAGCAGGCTATGAGCCCTGGAATGGGAGGGCCTGGGCCTGCTCCTTTCCACACAGCCCTGGACCAGACACATGGGCCCCACAAAGGCCTGTGAGGTGAGGGCAGCTGGGATGCTCGTGGAACTTGCAAGGAAAGTGCTGGGGGCTGTGCGGGGGGAGAGGGGAGGACATCCTGCTCTAGTCAAGAGCCTGGCCTCAAGGCCCCTGGGACCTCATGTCCTGTCGCTTCCTTAGCCACTCTGCAGGTATTGGTTAGGCATTTGTGTGTGCCCAGGGAACTGCCTGGGCACGGGAAGAAGGCGGTCTGGTGGAGCTCACATTCTAAAGGGGAGACAGACATATAAACTAAGAAACAAGATGGTGGCAGAGGGAAGAGATGGGGGGTGGGGAGTAGAAAGATCTCATTCCTGAGAGTGATCAAGGAAGGCCTTGAGAGATGCTAAGTTTTAAAACAGAGAGGCAAGTACATGAAAATCAGTGGGTCGAGGACGCTTCCAGCTGCTCCATCCTCAAAGCAGGAGACTCTGAACCCCAGTGAGCAGAGCTAAGGTCAGGAGCCACTGTGCCGCCAATCCGCCCCAGCTCCGGTTCAGTCGGCCCGTGTATGTGTGACATTTCTCCAGGGTCCCTTGTGCGTTAGTACCCTCCCCACACATACACACACACCCTCGAAGGGCTTTCCCTAGTCTCATGACCACTCCCCAGAGCCAGTGCCCATCACAGCCCTGCCATCCTTGGCATATTCTCTGAGATTTGGCCTCCCCACGTCCTATTTCTGATAGAGGCACTTGCTGAAACAGTCTGCTATTCGCTTTTGAATGGGCTATGAGTAGCGCATATGGTGGGCAAAGTTCCCCACAGGTCTGAGTTCTGCTGAGTTCCCCAGTTTGTACTTGATCCACATTTCCACCTTCTGGGTAAAAGTCATTTCTCTTTCCCTTGCTTTCCCCCTCCATTACTTGTGCCAGCATTTGGCTTTTTGGGGGTCCATCTTTCACTAAGAAAGATTTCATAACCTCTCGATGTTACAGCCAAAATGGCAGCAGGTGACAAGTAACATGGTGATTGATTTGTACCAGGGCAGCTGTGCCCACTCCCCAGGACCTTGCTCCCAGCTGCAGCCTCTCAATAGGTGGCACATTTGTGCCTCAGAAAATGGACAGGAGACCATGCCAGGTCCCTGACAAAGACTGAAAATCACTTTTAGTCCAAAACACAAGGAGTCAGTCTGCTATTCCCTCTAGTTCTGGGGGCCTGGGTCCCACTCCCATCTGTAGGTGTGTTTTCTTTTGTTCCATATAATGTGTGTGTGTGTGTGTGTGTGTGTTAATGACATTGAACCCAACTAAGAAAAATCAAAGAATTTAACAGAAAATCCAGGTTTCTGACTTCCCTTGAAAGATAGAGACATGGGGTAAGACCAGGCCCGTATTCCTTCATGATGACATTGGCCGAGATGAGTAGGGACAGCCTCTTGAGTGGGCCTCTGTCCTGTGACCCAGCCCCAGGTCCACCCCCCGATAGGACAGCATCAGGACCTCTCACAGCCAACCTACCTGATAGGTGTTAAATGCCTGGGTCTGGGTCAGGGCTTTGGTTGGCCTCCCTGGACTTTAACTATAACACACACACACACACACACACACACACCCCTGAGGGAGGATAGGGGTAGGGGGAGAGTGGGAGTCTGCTAATTGTGGACTTGACTCACAGCCGCAGCCACTAATGTCCAAAGAGTTCACAATCACCCTGGATCTCTGCCCAGACACCAGAGATAACATGTGTGTCTCTGATTAGACAGTGAACTCCCAGAAGACAAGGACAAGAACTCCTGGGTCCTCTTTATAAAGAGCTGGATGATAAGGATAGACAAGTCTGGCTGCACAGTGGAGTCTCTTAAGAAAATTTGCAAAAAATCCCAGTGCTCAGGCCTTTCCCCAGACCAATTAAATCAGGACCTCTGGGGTAGAGCCCGGGCCTAGATAGTTTTAAAGTTCCCCAGGTAATTCTAATGTGCAGCCAAGGTTGAGCCCACTGGAGGAGGTGCTTAATTAAGTCATCTCAGTGGAGACGCAGTTGCTGTTCTTGAGGATGTACATCTTAGACCAGAGAAAGCCACCCCAGCCCACCCAGCATTACCAGAGAAGGGAGGATTCTGAATGGCAAGTGTCACCAACGTGATTAAGTCCGAAGCCAGCGAGTCCTTCCCGTCCCTCGCCCTCCCTGCACAGTGATGCTGAGCTGGTTGCTCTCCAGAAGTGGGGAGGAAGGATGGGCCATTTCTGCCCTGATGCTGCACAACTTTTGACTGATTGACTCCAGCCCCACCCACCCTCTGACCCATGAGGCCCGTGGTGTGTGGAGAATGCCCCAGAGAGCATTGTCACAATCAAGCAGAATAACCTAGAACAGGGGTCGGCAAATTTTTGAGATGGAAGAGCTGCCAGGGGTCAGCAAACTGCAGCTCGCGAGCCACATGCAACTCTTTGGGTACGTACATGTGGCTCTGAAGTAAAATTGAAAATTATAAGAAAACTGTCATAGTTTCATTTATAAAATTTTTAAAGGATATTATTGACATAATGGTGATTATGTAAAAATATATTTATGGCTCTCAAATAATTTTAAAATTGTCGTGAGGGACAGGATTGGCTCTTCCAGGGGTCGGCAAACTTTTGAGATGTCATACCCAACGAGCTGCATGTGGCTTGCGAGCTGCAGCTTGCCAACCCCTGACCTCGAGTAATAAGTACAGAGCAGTCTGAAAGTGATTTGATCTTGAATATACTGTTGTGAATAGAATTTGAGATGGTGAGACCTGACTACAAGAATGGTATGGCTCCTACTATTTCCAAACCTTGCTTCCTTAAACAAGATGACACATTTGGCCAATAGAAATGATCCTCCCTCCACCCCACCCCACTTCTCTGATGGGTTTTGGGAGTAGATAAGCCAGTGACAAGCCAACTCTGGCTTGATGACAGTGTCCTCACCTGCTTTGTCTACCCAATAAATAGGGCTCTTTTCCTATAAGCAGCCCTGGTGATGGTTGAGCCCCAGCCCAGTCAACACACACAGGGGGAGCAGGGTAAGTTACTTCCCGTTCTTCCAACCAGCACAGAGGCCTCAGTAACATTGTCTCTGTACCTGGGTATTTTTCCAACCAAGGAAGAAAATACGCTAATGATTCACTGCACAGGGATGGCATATGAAGGAAAGAGCTGCCTTTCAGTTATCACTTTAAGTAAACAAATGGCTCTGTACCAGGGTTGTGCCAGACCCAAGGGGTACTTTGCTCCTGCTGCTCGAGAGCACCCACACATCCCAGCAGGGAGACTGACGTGCAAACAGGTGAATGCAGAGTCAAGTGCCTGCTGGTGGGGTGAGCAGTGGGACCCAGAGGGAACAGGCTTCCAGTGTGAGAGGGAACACTGACAAGTCCCAGGTGACGGAGGACAAGCTGTCTGGAAGAAGAGCGAAATGAGGAAAGATGAGGGCCTTGTAAGCCATCCTCAAGAACATGGGCTTGGTATGGGTCAGAAGCCAGAAGGAAACAGCCAGCATGCTCAACAGAGAGGCTGAGGAGACTTTATTAAAGGAGCTATGTACAGAGGTGTCGTCAGGGTTCAGGAAATCAACAACTGAGGGTGAAGCACCCTGGGCTAGCAATGGTGGCAAGGGAAAATTGTTACCGTGCCTGGGTTTGGAGAGC